AATAGGCCTATTTGGCCTAAGACAAAAATGTGAACTCACCGAAATCCAAGAATTGCTTTATTGAGAGGGGTGACGGTGAAAACTTCGAAAAATGGTCCATTCTTGATGGAAGACTCTTGATCGAGCTTAAAAGCAGAATCGTCAAGCGAACCATGCTGATAACTTGCTGTCCTCAATGAAAGGAAATCACAGCAGAAGAATCCAACGGTGTTACTCAGTAATATGATTGTTGACCGGGGTTCGTACATTACCACCCCTGTGTACGAGCAAAGAGTAAGCCGGCCGGCAGCTGCAGCTTGGCGGGAGAAGCGCTGTCGGTTACTCTTGAGCTGATGACTGATGGTCACAGGCGAAGCTTACTGTTTTTTCCTCTTTTAGTTGTGAATTATACTAATCAGAATTAGATCTAAACTCGCAAAAACAAGACATAGGTATTAAGCGTGTGAACGACTCTCAATCAACCGGAATGATCTGTGAAATGATAATAAAAAAGTCAAGCTAGTCCGAATGGAAAATCACTAGCCCATGATGCATGAAGCGCTGTCGACATGGAAATTTTTTGATAACCTTTGATATTGGCTTTGCATATTCATTGTGAACTTTGAGCGTTGACATTGTGTTGCATTGTGGGAAATTGTCGTAGGATCAAGGATTGAGCTGGTCGGGCATGGAATTTCGTTTCGCAGCTGGAACAGATTTCCACGTCAAATTTCTCCTTTTCTTCTGATATTTTCCCGAAACATTAAAGCACAGCGGCAAATCACCATGAGTGATAAATCGTTAGAGGATTTCTTTGCGAAGAAAGATAAGAGTAAAAAGAGTAAAAGCAAGAGCAAATTTGCAAAAAGCACGACGGAAGAAATCGCAAAGCGACTCACAGAAGCTGACCTCAAGAAAGAGCGGAAAGAAAAAGAGAAAGAAAAGCCGCCACCTCCAAAAGAAACAGAGGACAAAAGTAAAATTAAAGATATTATAGGGGTAAGGTTGTGTTTTGTATATTTGTGAGCATATTTACTACGACTACGTGTGACATTGGCCACGATTATATTCCTTGTCAGCTTGTCGTGGCCATAACCAGATAACGTTCATGACGTTAGCAGGTTAGTGGATAGCCATGAAAGCTGGTGGTGGAGTTCGGCCTAGGCCTAAATAAAATTCGACCAATCCTGTTCATCTTGCCGACTGCACCAGTCAAAATTTTCAGTGTAATGTAATTTACCATTCGTGCCGTTTTGGGCTATTCCACTGTTTCTGTCTGTGAAATTTTGGTCTGTAGCACTAGTTAGTAGTTGGTCGTCTCGACCATGTAAACGTGGCCATTCTTTTACTAGGCCTAGGCCTACATCAGTTCATTCCCAATCATTGTCTTAATGATCAGGCGATAAACACAGTCGGGATCTGTTTGGTCTTTGAACCAGACAGCAATGAAACTGTAGATTTCCAGAGCACGGCATAGTGGAATAGAGAACTTTAACATGTTTAACAGTGGTGGACTGCAATACACGTACTACTAGTACTAGTACTTCATGAATTTACATGACTTCGGATTGAGTGTAAAATCATTGCTGTATGTATGGCACCACTGGCACGCACACATTCGCTTGTCTAATCCCTCTATGTTGCGCTGGCACAGCAATGACATGTGACTCATCAAAATGCCCGGATGGCTGTTTCTTTCAACACATTCATAGCATTCACACATACATGAGGCTTCCTCAAGTCGCCTGATACATAGTCGCTGGTAAAACAGCAATTGGGATCAACCAGTTTATCACTGTCTGGTTCAAACATTAGTGTCCCCCCCCAAGGGTTGCTGGCCCTAACCTTCCCCATTCACACAAAGTTAAACACCCATATGGACTTTGTGCACAGAGGCTGCTGGACTTTGTTTTTCTGAGGTATGCCAAACCCAATGCAAAAACCAGCTGTTATGGGCCTACCAGTCCTATCCCACAGAATTAAACACTTTACTACTGTTTAATTCTGTGTGGGTGGAGAAGGTTAGGGTTTATATGATGTTGTAATGAAGAAGAGTAACCTTGTCCCCTTGCAATCCTTGTTTTAGGATGAAGATGATTGGAGAGACAATGAAGAAGAAAAAGAAAAAGATTATAGTGGGCTGAAGATCCAGCTACAAATAAGGTTTGTGAAAATAATTTTATACAAACCATTTCAAAAGCAGTATGCAGCAGGCTACTCACATTTATCAAGCACAAGCCAGTGTCATTTTTTCCTGAGGATTTTTTTAACCTGTTAAAAGTCTACCTACTATGCAGTACAGTTTTGAATCCAATGTGTGTATGTGATCCTGAAAAACGAGGTTGGTGGGAATTCAAAACCTTCTGATGAATGATAAAATTCAGTGGAATTTTGCTTGCTTGATTGAGTACCTTTAATTTTGTATTGTCTCTTGAATGGCCTCTCTTTGAAAGTTTTCCTACATTGTACATGTACATGTGACCAGACATGCACTCTGTAGGCAATTATAGTTTGATTTTTCATTCAGATTCTTTAAGTTTTCATCAGTTGTGGAGAAAACAGGTCCAGCTCCAGGATACTTCATGGTTTTTGGCTGATTTTCCACCGTGGTTTTTGGCTGATTTTCCATCATGAGTAGAGCAATTAGTGGGAAACACTAAATCATCACCTTCATGCATGCAGATTTTCTCCAAAACTTTCGTTTTTCTGATTCACCTAAGTCATTTACAAGCGCAGTGGAAGAACCCAATACATTGATGAACAGATTGCAAATATCACTGGGGACCTGAGATGTGCAAACACTTTGCTTGACAAACATGTATTTCTTCAAAAGTTTTGATGCAACTGATTCTTCTCAGTGTGTTGTGTAGGAGTTGGATGCTAGGCTTTGGCCTAGTGCATTATCTTAAAGTTCAGTGAGGAGAAGTTGTGATGATCCAAGTACGACACTGATGACTTTCATGTGAAATCCCTTTTGTGCTCTTCATATCAGTGCAAATCCTGACCAGGATGTGGAGGAAGAGGAAGAGGAAGAATTGGATGAGAACGGAGAACCAGTCAAGAGCAAAGGAGCTGTGCCTAGTGGGCCTTGGAATAAGCTGGAAACAGGTAGGATACGCTGCACTCAAAACTGTTCTGGGGGAGATGAACAGACAGAGGGTTAGTCAGCCGAAAAAAGTGAAACAAATTAAGTTCAACTTAAAGGCCATTCTATGCAAAAGTGGATTTTTCACCATGCTGTTACTGACCTCATTATTGTAGGTAATTTTTAGACACAAGGACTTCAAAAGAGAGTGGAAGCAAGAAGGAGCACAGTTACTTGTACTTCTATTTTTTCTAAAACTTCTCGCTGTTTTGGAATTATAGATTTTCGAATTGGAAACAATGAGGTCGGTAACAGCATGACCAAATTTCCACCTTCATATGGAATCCCCCAGGGGTCAAACTTCAGCTAACAAAATTCTTGTGAAAGGAAAATATTAAGAGATCATTCATTGTTTCCCAGTGATTTTCACGAGCATAAAAAAATGCAGGAGAAGGGTCAACAGCCCACATTTCATGCATGCTTTTCATACACTGGAAAATAATTGGCCATCATTTTCAGCTGTACTCTTGAGGAACGGAGGGAGGGGGGGTGTTGGAGGAACCAGTTCATTTTGCACACTCATGAATCTGATGATACCCCCCTCCAAAAGTGGATTACCCTGTAAATTGTGTGTAAAGGGGAAAACGTTGCATCCCTACAAAGCAGTGCTGTACAGTTTGGAATCTGACATTTTTGCAAGATTTTAGGGAGCAGACACTGCTCTAAACTTTCATCTCTGTGTTTGCAGAGAGCACCTTTTGTCTAATTATCGAGACATCTCCTTGTGTGGAATTGGCCAATTCAAATGTTTAAGGAGCTCAGGAGGGTTAATGCCAGGAATGGATGCACTGAATACAGTCTAATCTTACAAGTGTACTGTATTATTTACACTTCCGCTATCATCCTGTCTCATCCAACCAATGACCCCGAAGATATGACTTTCACTGTTTCTTTTTCAGCTGTGGACAATGAAGCAGAAGTTGCTCAGAAAGGGGCCCCACCCCCTACTGAGCCAGCAGTGGCTCCCATCGTCAAATCGGGCAAGTACATACCACCCAGCCTACGTGGCCAGCCCGCCACCAAGACCAGCTTGGCCCCCTCGCGATTAGGTGGAAAGAGCAAGGCTGCTCCACAGATCTCTAGTGAGCAGGAGTTCCCGTCGCTGGCCGCCAGCTCAGATATTGCTAAACATACGTGAGTGGATTTCTTTTTTTTTTAAATGTTTTTGAAGGGAATGGTTTTGCCTCAGGACCTGTGAGATCAGATCATTCCGAGTCAAAGCAGCATTTATTTTCGTTCTTTGAAAAAAATTTGGGTGGAGTTGGGTCAGCCTTTACTATGAAGCATACCAACTGTGATCCTTGACTCCATGATGAAAGGTTACAGAGACTTCATGGACAAATTATCAACACTGTAATTCTCTTTTCGGTAGAATTGTAAAGGTTGTTTGTAGGGTGCTGTCTTGACAATAAAAAAAAGATCATATTTACAGTCATGGTAAAAAAACTATGTTTAGAAAAATGGTATTGTTTTTATGTTTACATGACTTGTTTTGTTTTGTCTGCAGTGACAAGAACTCTGACAAAAATTTTGAGAAAGTGACGAGAGGAGGCCCCAGTATGCCCAACCCTGCAAACCAAGGACCCAAACTGGATCTAGAAAATCGCTTTGCTGCCCTTGGGCAGAACTGACAACGGGGAAGCTTTCCCCAAAGAACTTGGAGAAGATAAACTACAAAATCCAGACACTGGATCTGACTCATGATTGTTGGTCTCTGTTAACACAAGGACATGTCCATGTACAGCTTCCTATGTAGTGGCCATGCACAACGTATGTACATAGACCTTGTTCTGAGAAGATATTAATTGAAAAAACAATGCGGAAAACTTTGAACATCTCGCCACTGAAGTCAGCAAGTTCTCAGCTCAGTGAGGGAATATGATCAGTGGAAGTTTTTTGGAATGTACATAGAAAGCTGGACTATTCTCTGAGGTACCGAGATATTTCAAGCCAGGTGATTGGGCATGCCTGAATCACTGTGATTGATAGATTTGTCATGAGTCAATGCTGGAAGTTGAACACCCTCCACCGAGATCAACAGTAGATCAACATTTCATATTTTTCCCCACCCATCTTAGCCTTGGTTGAGGTGTTTGTGTTTAACCGCACCGCATGAGCTAGCTATCTCTTCTACCATTGTTTTTCATGCACAGTGGAAACATCAAGGCAAACTGTGACCTCGCACGGCCAGCCTGATACCCAAATCAGCTGAGACCTGGATGAATGCCTTGGTCCAACTGTTTGTACAAGCATGCAACTTTTCCTCAGATCAGCTGATTTCCTCATTTTTCACTTCTCACTGGTCCCATTAGGAATTGAAAAGCACTGTACAAAATGTCGGAAATATTGGAGTTTCCTCCTTTTTAGTTTTGTCAAAGTTGCATGCCTGTTCGTAATGGCTTATGAATTTCTTTATTTTTATCTCAAAACATAAGTTGGCCAAGCTTAGCTGACCTCATGCGCCGTTATACGAAAACTCTCTTTATTCATAGTGAATTTTTAAGTCGTAAATTATTACCTGCTTGATTTTTTGTGTCGAACAACCATAGAGTGTGTGTGTCATGGAACCAACGTCTTTCATGTGACTTGGACCGAAATTTAAAGTTTACTCATCGTGTGCTACTGTGTGAGAGGCGTGTGAGACAACTCCGAACCAAGCTGAGTAGGTCTATGTGTACAGCTACTTTTGGCCCCATGACCTTATCACCATGAAAAGACAGTACCAATCTTCAACACCTGAGAAAATTTCACTTGACTGCAATGTGCAGGATTCTACACACACATATAACATAACCCTGGCACGGCCATGTGGGTGCATGCTGGATGCATGCAGCAGTTAATCTGTAGACCAATAGAAAGTGTCTTTTGAACTCAAGCTTGGGTTATTATCATGAGTACTGCCCCAGACCTTTGTGTTGCATGAAGGCATTTGCGTTTTGTTGATTTACATCCCCCTGGCTGTGTGAGGTCACTGATTCTTAATTTTTTAATTGCAAACATACATGTACTTGTGCACAGTGGAGGCTGTGAAAAGCTGGTTTGTGCAGTGCAGCTTAAGATGAACGCTTCGACCAAGGCTACCCCATTTCAATCTACCCCCAAGTTGTTTTCTATGCAGGCTTGATACACTGTGTGTAATCTTCCACAACAGGACCTGAAAAAGAATGAAGTTTACACATAGGAATCATGCTATCCATCACTTTTGTTCATACTTCAGGATGCAAAAATACTGGAAAAACTTGCTAGTTAATCTTGGATGACAATCAGCTTAGCAGCTGAGGTTACCCGGAACTGTGGTGGCCCACAGGCAGAGAAAAAGGCCACTGGGATATGGTCTGTGGCTTTGAAGACAAAATACCCATCGAGGGTGAAGTCTTCCTGCCATTTGCAAATTTTTTTTCTGAGAATGACTTTTATAACACTAATATTTACACTGTATTTGAGTTGGTCTACTACCATTACTCCTCCAGATCTGCCCAAATTCCCAATTTGTTGGGGGGGAGGACCTCAAGCAGGATTACGCAAGGTAGATCCTAGCCACTGTAACTGTGCTCAGGCTTTTACGCTCCTTGAAACTTTAAAAAACGTACAATGTACTGTATAAAAGGGAGCCATTAGTTTCCTGCACAGTTGTGGATTTTATGGGATTTGTAACGATTCTTAATGTACAAGTTGGGGTCGAGTTATCCAATCCAAAACTGAGCAGGTTTTTAATTTTATTTTGCACCCTGTCTGTAATAAAAAAAGGAAGCTGTCAGTGGTGGTTTATGAAATAATAAATTTGTGGAATAACTGCAAAAAGCCCTGCATTTTGTGGTAATTAACATTTTCCCATTGCATCCCAGGGCCTGCATTTCCTGTCGCCTGAATGTGTCATGTGGGTGTGTGTGCGTTAAGTTGGAAATTGGGTTGATTCACAAAAGCCATTGCATGTTCACCACTGTTTTTGGGCTGTGACCAAACCAACCGCCTGCGGTAAGGCGTAACACAGCAGTCTATGGGAAGTGACTGCAGTCACTGCATGGGCGGGGGAGGCTTCTTCATCTTAGCCACAGCCATTATGTCTGGACATGGCCACACTTGTCTGCGTCACAGAACCTCCTGTTCCCACCAAAAGCCCCCAACTCTGACAGATATTCTTATTCTGAAATTGCATTGAAATGAAAAATTCTACCCACCCCCCAAGTAGGAAACAGACGAAAGAAGTCCTGTTATCATGCAATATTTGCTGAGACCCTGTGTTCATGCTTTTTTTGGCTTACCACACATACAGTGGTTAATAAAGAATGTGTGAGGTACATGTACATTTATACGGTTGTAAGTTGAATTCACCCATGCCAGTGCTATTGAACCTGTACATACTTTTAAATTTACATGTATGCGTAACAAATCCATTTATAACAATTTTTACTTGTCACCAACCTGTCTATACAGGGACAAACAGAATTTATCACAGTGCATGTATAGGTGGTAAATTGCAACATTTCAGTCCTTTGCTCATTAAAGCATCACTGTTTTCAAATGAATTTCTAGCAAGTGTTACAGTCAGTCACCACACACACTTTTTAAGTGTGAAAGTATGACACATTAATTAAACTAAGTACATGTACATGTATGTACTTTAGCCCCAAAGTTAATATAAGTGACAATGCCTGTAAGGATGAAAGTTATTTTTTGTCAAGCTCTTACTTTATTAGCAGTTGTAAAAATTTTCCTCAAATGATTTGATTGCTCCAAGGATCTGTCAGAAAACATATTAAAACAGTAAATTTTTATTTCACGGTATTTGGTCCACACTTAACTATCAGTGCATGTCACGTACTGTTTTGCTGGAAACTGACTTTTGTAAGAATATACATGTAATGTCAGCAAAGAAATAATACCCGTGTCCATCTGTCATGCACACATTTACATGTACTTGGTAAATTCTTTCCTCTGTAAGAGTGGTGCCTATGATTATGTACATATATTCAGGTGAGGAGCAACAAAGACCACTGCACACATTTGGTAAGCTTGTTCAGTGCCACCTTGTGGCACTACGATGGCAAACATATCAAAGTTGACAAAGATACAGTTGCAGTGCTCTGAGACCTTCCTGTGTCAGAAGTAGAGGAAGATACAAACAATGCAACAAATGCCGTAAACTATTTTTATTTTTTTGTGCCTGCAAACATGGCAAATTGGCTGATGCTTGGTAGGTTATTCAAACTGATACATGTAGGCATAGAATTCGGTGCAGCAAATGAAGTCCAGGTAAAAATATGACAAGTAACAATGTTAAATAAGATCAAATGGGGTTAAATTTGGCAGTTCGTGTTGCATTGTTTGGTTCAGGACACGGTTTTTATCTTTCTTTCGTTAATTTAGTGCACTTAATTCACAAACATCCCTTGTGGAAAATTCTTACAATGCAAAGCATGTTGGAAAGTGACACAGCAACGATGCTCTAGTTTGTCAGATAGAACTTGGTCGAAATTGTGAAAAGCAAATCATAAACCTCAAACAACAGATATCACTACTTCAAAAGTTCTGAGAAGCAGATATATGCTTTTTAGAGTAAATTTCGATTTAAGGCTCAGACGCACCCAATGAAACTTCCTTTTGTGCTGAGTACAAAAACTGGAAAAAAAATCCCAGGACCCTAGAAATGACATATTGATATTTTAAACTGAACAAAAGGCAAAACTCAAGACATTCATAAAATTTCAGTCAGATGGGCCTTAAAGTCACTGGACACTGCTAGGGTACAAGTGCAGCACACATACATCAGAGTATTTGTACAATATGTGCACAAAGAGTTTTTACTGCCCATGTTCATAGACTACAGTATCATTTCACGTTGACTTGTTTGAAATCTTTACCTTTCTTATAACGGCACAGAGGGCTATGTAAAAAAATATATATCCAGTGATCCAATATCCACTCATTGTATGAATTATGTTAAAAATGTTTTTTAGTTGTACATGACCACATTAACTTCTTTTTAAACCCTAGAAAGTAACACACTGGTCCAATTTTCCCTATTAAACGTAAAACATCTACATGTATATTTATGGTAGAGTTCCCTGAATTCATGTTGAAACTTGTCTTACACAAATACTGAAACTATCCAGACTCTGCAAACTGTCAATGATCTTGAATGACCCAAAAGCCTGACTTCTCTCAGGTGCAACAAAGAAAACAAGATCCCACTAATATAAAAAGGAAACAATTTGATTGATTAATAAGAATATAAATATTTCAAGTGACAATGAAAAGAAAGATAAAGAAAAGATCTTACATAACTACATGTAAATATAAGATCTTACGGGTGATGATTTGGGTAGGCTCTGCAACAGACTCCTCCAAGGATGGTGAGCGGAACAGAGGAGGGCATTTTTTTGGTACTCGCCACATAGATGCTTCATGAGGCATGCAATTATATGCGCGTTTACGCTGAGAACAGTGTACGTGTAACTAATTTATTACGGCATGTATGGTCTTTTCTCACACGCAGAATGCATGCAAGAACCTGCTTGTAACCACATGTCTTTCTTTGGCTGATTGGGGGTGCACTTCAGCTCGGGGCAGATTGACTGAGATGAATTCACCTCCAACAAATGGCTAGAAGCAGACGAAATAGCACGGGATGCAAGCTGGTTCCCGTCAAGAAGATACATGTAATGAGCAATAAGCAACCTCAAAATACGGTTCAGAAAAATGTCCTTTTTGGAATTGAATTTAGCTCTCAAAATGCTCCCTCAGTCAATTAAGGTGCACTTTTCCAATTGCTCCACAGATGAGTCCCCAGCAGATCATGGGTCCAGCCATAGTCTCATAGTCCTGCCTTTATATTAGGTTTTCTATATCTTCCAGAAATTACTGCACCAGAAAGTTCTTACTTTCTGAAAAGGTGAACTAGCAGAATGCTAGAAATTTCTTGAGTACACAAGACAGTTCTGGTCTTTCATAATGCTCACCTCTTAACAAACAAATGTAACACTGAGGCTTTCTTCTTGGGATGACATCACAGTTTTGCTCATGAATATGAAAATACTCAGCATAATAATAAAAAAGGCAGTAAAATACCCTTACTACCCTTTGAAATAGTAAAAAAAAAGGTCGAAACTAAGGTTAACTGAGATACAAAGGTGCATTTAGAAGGCTTGTGTTAAACCAAGTTGATTGGAGGTACCCTTTAAACTGTTCCCTGTCCTTTTGCTACTGATAACCTTCCTTGACCAAAAATACCTCTGAACTTGTATTTCAGGGTGGGAGAAAACCTTGTGCGGACCTGGCTTAGTCCATACAAGGTTCACCCAACCTACATTGTGTAGAACCATCAGGTCAACACAAAAATGGCAAGGTTGGTACAATGTGGGTTTCATTCAAGGTGATGGCGTGGGCTTTCATCACTGAGCACACATAACCAATATCTGTCAACTGTATAGTCTTTGGCCCTATCAAAATGATCCCCACGATCTCAAGTCCTTGGCGACGAGGAGGTATTTCAACTCAAAGCACAGAGGCAGCCCACTTTGCTGCCCACTAAACTCCACAAGGGTGAACTTTTTAACTTGATCCACTGAAAGGCAAGGTTTACGCTTAATCCTGTTTCTTAGTTCAAATGCCATACTGCTGAGCTAGATTTCATCAGGACTTGATATATCATCAATGCTATTGGAAGAAAAACAAAACGAATGGCATTTTTACATTACAAGACAGAACAATATGTTGATTTCTAAGGAGAAAGATGAAAGAGCATGCATTCTGTATGGACTTAACTTATATGTATTTAATGAGCTGTGAAATGAAAATCTACAATTTCATGAATTTGGGTTTACACTCTGAATAGCGGCAGGGCATTGGAGTACAATACTTAATCAAGTAACCAGGGGTCATCATAGCTCTGCTACAATTCTATTTTAATGTCCTGAGATACAAAGTTGAATGTCTTGTATCAGTTAAACAGAGGAGGTACCTGAAGATAACTCCATCCATCTAACTGTATACTTTGAAAGATTAAGAAATACAATAAGTCGCACAAAGTTTAAAAACCCGGTTTGGATTAATTCATTTAAGAGTTTCACTGTCATTTTTTAGTCCACACCAATGATTCTGAGTCACTTTTGAACCAAATTGGAAATCAACAGAGCTGCCGTTGGTTGCTTACTGCAGAGAAACCCCCTGAGCTTCACTCTTCTTAACTTCCGCTTTGTGATCAGTACTGTTCCTGAGTCGCTCATACATTGACACGTAAACCAGCCCGTGAGCACCATAGCTGTCATAACATTCATACTGCGGTAACTCCAGCAAGTGGTCTTTGAAGTCTTGTAGGATGTACACCCAAACCTCCTCCGTGTCTCCTTTGACCCTTGACCCTGTGCTGTCTTCAGTGAGCTGTACCCGAATGCTGGTCCGCTGATAGTAGCCAGGGCACCCCTCAAAGAAGTCACAGTGCTGCAGCATCTCGTCATCCACTTCATATATTTCACCCAATACGTTCTGATGGCAAAGCATTAAAGGTGTGAATAAAATCAAGCATCAAGGGTTTTATGTTGAATGCTAAAAACTCAAAATTTGATAAATTGGTCGCAAATCAGGCTAAAGTGTTGTTCATCTCTGATATTCTGGGAAGGTTGGATGGGTTAGGGTAAAGGCTTCAGAAAGTAGTGCCAGATTGGGACCCCCCAGGACTTCTGCAAAATACTGTTGTGGTGCAATTACTTCGTAGAGTGGGAATGTGCAGTACCAGAACACACAATATTTCAATTATCCCTCAGTAGATCGGAAGACTTACACTGATTTAAACTTCACTCCTTTCCTTTTGGCAGAGAATGGACCCCATTTTACACTATGCCACATTTAATGCACATGTACATGTACGACTTTCAGCAAAAGCAGCAAAACCAGCAGAAGAGAGAAGAAGAAGAGAAGAGAGAAGAAGAAGAGAGAAATTTATACAAAAATCCGTGAGAGACCCAGTTAATGATTAAGGAGCAAATTGCCTGGGGTTAGGGACAATAAGAAGACAGGGCTAGAGGTTGGACATTAGCATTAAGTTATGGGGAGATCCATCACCATTTACAGCATGATTTCAGTGAGCCTGTTGAGAGTGAACAACCAATGAGTACGATACAAGTACATAAACACTGTACATTTCAATTTTATTGAATGCTGAATAGTACATGCACAAAGGATTTCTCCACAAAGTGAAATCCAGTAATTTAGAAGTGTCAAGTTTGCAGAGTTACATGTACATTTATGGCAACCATTACCTCAGACAAGAATCAAGACACTAAATTTCTTGAGTATGCGAGGGTTCCTGTGTTAACATTACCAAACATGTACATTAGCTGCATGATGACACAAAACATACATTGCCACTCCCCTCCATATCCAGAAGATATGGAATATTGCACTGTGATGCTATCACGAGCGGCCACTTCTGCACAGTCCGGGCCTGGCCAAAGTATTTTGCGACACCATTCTCGGGACCAAACTGCTCAGCATTGGGCTGCCCTCGTTTGAGAGTTCCGTAGACAAACAACAGATGGTATTTGGCCATGACATTTACAAGAATGCCTGTCCTGGCAAGCAGAGAAGCACAAAAACAACAATACAAGTTTTGAGTTGGTACAAACAGCAGTGTGGGAGGGGGGTGAACTGGCCATTTTTTTAGGGGGGGTTCCACATCGGCCATTTTATAGATAAATTTGGGGTTCAATTCTTTCCCTTCCCTGTTATGTCAGGTGTATGATTGTTTTCAATGTTTAAAACTCATTTTCTTTAATCCAAGTTTGAACACGTACTGAAAATTACCTGCCAAAGAAATGCCGGTAACAACAGTTTGACAAGGGATACATGTTTATCACTGAAATTGATTTCAAAGTATACATGTCAAAGTATACATGTAACAGGGACAGAATTATGTCACACGTCGGACCCCAAATTTATAGAATGACCATTATATGGATGCCAGTAAATGAGTAATTATCCCCTATAGTGACCTAATAGAAAAAAGAAAGCTAAAACATGTCCAGATTTAGTCCTATGACTGGTTTGTGTACAGGGTGTAAACTTCCGTGTATGGAACTATTTCCTTTGGTTTCAGTACACCCCCCCAAAATATATAGGGCTGGTTGTAGTTGTATTTCTGCCTGATTATAAATTGTACGTCACCTAGCCCATATCCCAATGGCAATAAGCTTTATTCTTATACTGCACGAGTGATTTTGCATAAATGGTAAAAAGGCATTGTTGGAAAGAAAAATGAGTAAACTTTTCCTCCTTTTCCTTCCCACAATGCCTTTCTACCATTGTGCAAAATCACCAAAGCAGTTTCAGAAATAAGGCTTATGCCCAGCTATATATGCCAGCCTAAACATGCTATTGCTAAAATTACAGTGTACAATGAACCTAATCAATAGAGAGGAGACTTGCAATGCCTCAAGTTAACTCAAAACTCGACAAAAACGCCTTTTAGCCTTTCCATTGTGGGCGTGGGCTGGCCCTAGAGATCATACAGTTACCGGTTTATTAGTTGTGGTGTGACCACTGATGCGGCACAGACCGCCGGCAAACCTGTCGAGTTTGGTTCGATAAAATTTTACAGTTCGGCCTATCTCATCTGACTTTTAATTAAATTAAAATAATGGCACATAAGGCAAACTGGTGCCCTGCGAGCAGTACAGTCAGCGTCACTCTAGCCTAGGTTGGACGACGTCTACATTACATTGCGACTAACGTCCAGGGTATGAAAGTCGCTATGTGAAACTTTCTTTAACACTTTTTTCTCACATTTTTACCTAACGAAGACAGCTCAAAATGTCGTTTACAAGTGCCTTGTATACTGAATTCTATAAGTGCTGTGTTCAAGTTACTAAATGCTCCCGCAAACAACGTATTTTGGAGGAAATTCTGCGAAACTCCACACTTTCCGTCGCGATTCGTAAATGAACGACCTATGTTTGTGAGTTATCAATATGCATAATGCAATGGAGCGAAAACTGTAACTGACAGAATGTGGGCTGAGCTTGGAGGCCATCATTTCGCGCACACGCGCGTGTGCGCGAAATGATGGCCTCCAAGCTCAGCCCACATTCTGTCAGTTATGCATGTTGTATAGAGCTAGGTCTAGGTTTTCGCTCCATTATAAATACGTGGAGACCGGAGACGCGTAGACAATAGAACTAGCCGTATCTTCGCGAGCCCGTTCGGATCCGGATAGGCCTCATCTGCGACTTCATTACGCCCAAGGCTCCTCTGCGCATGCGTAAGGGGCACTCCATGACCTCGACCATGCCTTTCGCGCATGTGCGAGTACCCGTGCTAGACGAACGTGCATACTGTACATGTACCTGTACATGTACACAATAAGTACACACACATGTACATGTACATGTACATCTACATGTACGTGTATGTAGATCGGGAAGCGAGCTGAAGTGCACCCTCCCTGGCGAAACAAAGACAGGTGGTACTAAGTTTTCCAACCGGGTTCTAGCACGCATTCGGCATGCACGCAAAGACCACACATTCTAGGCCGTTTTCTAACTCAACTTCGTCTCTGTCTCAGGATTCGTCCCCAAAACCAATCCCCGATTGAGGGCCTGAAGCGTTTAAATCAAATTGGATTACTGTAAGTTTTTGCTCTCTTGTATCTTATTTGATATTTTGTGGTACTATTTTAGACTAACTAGTGCGCTTACAGCTAGGTAGTAAAAAAAAAACAGTTGAAGCCTTAGACAGAGCCGAAGTTGAGTACTGGAAAAGGGTCCTAGACTAAAATAGTTGTGCGTACTCAGCGTGCTCCGTGCAAACGCGCATAAACTTGCGCACCTATGCGGTGCTTGAGCGCTAAAGGACTGTCGATTTCATTTCAAAACATGCCCTCTTTTGTTCCTGCTCAGGACAGATTATAATTGAGATCAGTGACGCCTACACGCATGCATGAAACGCGCACGAGGATAGGACGAACTCTCTCTACCTATATGGGGCTACCGCTCTCCCATCTCCGGCCTTCAAACCTTTAAAAACCAACACTTCGCAGCGAAAGAAACAAAATGTGTTTTTTGCAGATTCTAGGAGGAGGAAGCGTGTGGATTATCTCGAGAATATTGCCGACGTTTCCCGTTATTTTGTAAATGAAGTTTTCTGCTGCAGATCCAGTACTCATAAGCGGTGGCGATAATGTTTAAAACAATAGCAAAAACAGAGAACATGGGAATATAAGGTAGCGTATAACATGTCGCCCTGTTCTTGGGCAAACTTGGCGTGGCGAACAAGAATATTGAAGCCTGACCCCTCTAGTTTTAACGACCTCTGTGTTCGACAGCCACAATGCCTTTAATGTATCATTGATCAAAGCTGATGCAGCGTTGGCATATGCCACCTGTGTGTCATAAGCACGTTTGAATCACTGCAGCGGTTGATTGGTTGACTTCATGCAAATTTGACATTTGGCACGCAGAGTTAAGGCCGTATGATGTTGCAACCACGAACGTCACCCAGTTTTGTGTGCAGCAAATAAAACTGAACGTAAAAATGCAACGTGCTTCCATCTGTGTGGTCGGTCGATCAGGACACATGATGGCCATCGGCCTTGAACCCATTTGCCCTGAAAAGATACCGCCGTTTTTAAAGGCCCATTCGTTGACATTTGAAGCAATTTTTCCGTTGTAAAATTCTCCCTTTAAATATCACGTAATTTCCAATCTGATTTGATAATATATACAAAATGGTTCAGTGTCTAAAATAAAACATAAATAGTATTGACATTTGACGAATAAAACGTAAGTTTCAGAACACATTCCACGCGTTGTCGCCAGCTCATTAAGTATTCACAGCGAGGTCATCCACCGGAATGCCATGCATACAATGCACATAAAACGAACGGCTTTTCAGTGGGCTGCGGACTGACTGCGCGTACCCTAGTGAAGCTGCTTCATCTGTAAAGAACTCCACTGAATCCTCCCTAGCCCCTAATGCCTCTACTCACCCCATTTTAATTTGTCTAGCCATCACTTCATGCAAGTCTAACCTTGCCCCCACTGACAACTTCGCACACGTTGCACGCGGCATTATTCGTATTAAACTGAGACCTTTAAAGAGAGTAGCTACAGGCCTAATTTGTCGTCTTAAAAAGGCCCGACGCGGTGAGATAGCTTTACTGAACCTCCTAAGAAACTGTCAGTCTCCAAACCTAGAGACTGGCCTGATCTATTTCTTGTGCAATAGCACAAGCTCATGAAACGTTTGCCCATATGACTAAACAATACCTGTATGTCAATCAGTAATGAAAACTGTCCATAACGTTACAAAAGAAATTTCCGACTAACGTCCGGCAAAAGTGCTGGAAGACATAAACGGTGACTCCCCTGAAGAACTCCGGCTTGCACGAAGAAAATCGTTAGGGTTCTAACCCGGATGCCTCGTCTCCTCCATACTACCACAACCAAAGACATCCTAATCGAAAACTCAGCTTGCATGGAAACCACCGACGAAGAACGTTGGCTTGCCAGGCAGGGCTGAAACTCTCTCACGCATTAGTTGTAAATTTCATGTAAGTTGTTGAAGCAAATGAGTCTCCGAAATAAATGGTATCAACTCCAAAGCTTACACCATGTTTCCATCTGGTGTTTCTTGAGGGCAATAAGCGGTGAGATGACAACTATGATGCTTGTTGGTGGGGGACGGTGCTGACGTTGGAGTAACACTAGCAAGTAGCAGTTCATCAAGGCCAAATGGTCAAAGCAATATGGCAGTGCTTGAAATATGGAGCTCTTAGTCTTTCCATATCCCGTGGGTAGAGACGAAAACGTCACGCCTGCGTACAGATATTT